GTAAGTACAGCTTTGCAGCTTTAAACAAAACTAAAAAAAAAAAAAAAAAAATCAAAAAGTCAAAACCACGACAAGCCAAGAGGAAGGCGATGACGAATTAGTGTAGTGTCAACGTGATACAAACCTCGAACCCATGACATATATTGATCGCTGACAATAGATTGCCATGAAATCTTTGCGCATCTAAAGCGCGAACAATAATTTTTCGTAGGTCATACAGCTCATTTACATCCATTAAACGTATATGAGAACATTTTACGTGTAGGGGAGACCGGGGCTAGTTGGGTACCGGGATAAGTTGACCAAGTCGATTTTAAAATCGAGCTTTTAAGTTGGACACACTACATCAACAGCATTGTATTATGACTATTGTTGTTTATCACTGTACGAGTTGTAGTGATTCACAGACTTCTATACTAACTAGATAAGGTACTATCGATATTTACTGAAGCTTGGCTTATCAGTTTCCGCCATTTGGTCGGTTGGCAAAACATTGAACGTTACATTTAGTCCTGTGCAGCATTATATTGAATATTCTTTTACAATTGATTATTTATTATTTAATAGAAAATTGTTTTTCACTCGTTATTGTAATATTATATTAGCTTACAACTTATAATCGTAATCAGTGTAGTGTACAAGTATTTGAAAATAATTAAAATGCCCGTTTCGTGTGCTGCATATGGATGCACAAACAGGTATCAAGTTGGATATAATATACGTTTCTTTCGGTAAGTTATATTGTAATAATAACCAATTAGTGATGATATTTAAAACTTAAATAACAAGTCAATGGTTTTTGGTAATTAGGCTTTTACTTTCAAATAAGTATATTTGTAACTTATCACAACTTCCTGGATTTGGCTTATTCTTATTTTAGTATAAAAGTCATACCTACTTCTTATGTTGTTTGTAACGTATACAAATATTGTATATTATATAGATTATACAATTATGATAAAAAGTCTCTTATCTATAAAAATATGAGTCATTCTAATTATTTTAATTTTATAATTGTATGATATAGATTTACCGTTTCTAATAACGAGTAGATGTCAAAATGGGTAAGTGCTATAAAGAGAAAAAATTTTAAATCAAGTCAATGGAGTCGAATATGTAGTATTCATTTTACTGAACAAGACTTTCAAGTGAGACCAAGAGCACATAGATTACTTAAAAGATGATGCAGTTCCATCAATATTTCCATCATTTCCATCCTACCTTCAAAAATCAAATAAAATTCCTAGTAAAACCCCAACACTAAGGAACACTTGTAATGAAGGTATATTGTCATAAATCATGTTAAATTAGTTTTCTTTCAACTTATTTTATTTGTATGATACAGATATAACTGTTGATAATTTAGAAGACAATATCAATCAATGTGACAATATGAATTTAAGTAGTAATTTTAAAAGTGTGGAAGTACAAACTGAAACCTCTTATTCAAATGAAGAAATGCTTAAAAATAAAATTAAAATTCTGCAACAAAAACTACGAAGGAAAAATAAAAAAATTGAAAATTTGGATGATTTAGTAAAAAGTTTAAAAAATGATGGACACATTAACTCTGAACAGCAACATGCAATTTTAAACAACTTTAATTGTAAACTTCTTATATTTATTTACATTTAAATTTATTATTTGCTTCATTATGCTTTATGTCTTGCATGGTCAGATTCAGCTTCAAATTTATTTAAAAATGAATTAAAAAATAATTATAAAACAACAGGTAGAAGGTATAACTAATCAATTAAACAGCTTGCTTTGACATTATATTATTATTCACCCAAAGCTTATAATTTTTGGCGGTAATTCTGCATTTGCTTTTATAATATAAAAACCAACCAGTAGTTTTTAATTTATTTAATATAGTGTTATTATTTTATTTCAGTTCAATATTAAGTTTACCACACCCAAGATCTATTAGTAGTTGGATATCATCAATAAATGCTGAACCCGGTTTTTTTCAGGAAGTTTTCAATTACCTGAAAAATTTACCTCCACAGTACCGTGATTGCAATTTAATATTTGATGCAATGGCTATTCGTAAAAAAATAATATATGATCATAATAATGATAGATTTGTAGGATACTGTGATTTTGGGGGAATACAAGTGGAGTGTCAAGAAACTCCAGCTACCGAAGCTTTAGTATTTATGTTGGTTTGTTTAAACGGCAAATGGAAGTGGCCTATAGGTTATTTTTTACAAGCCAAAAGTACTGCTTCTATACAAGCAGGGCTTGTCACAACTGCTATTACCATGGCTCATTCTATTGGATTACGGATATGGTCTGTTACCTGTGATGGCACTTCCACCAATTATTCTACCATGTCATTATTAGGATGCAAAATAAGTAGTTGTTATTCAGAGATTGTAGAATATTTTTTAATTCCAGAGATAGATCAGAAGGTATTTCAGTTATTAAAACTCAAAAAATATTTTTAATTTAACAACATAATACTATCATTATGAATTATATTTAGATTCGTTACGTTCCTGATTCATGCCATAAACTTAAAATTAGCTCGAAATGCTTTGGGCACTTACAAAAAGTTTAAACATAACGATAATGTGATTGATTGGTCATTCTTGCAGAATTTACATATGGGTTAGATATTAATATATACAATTGATGGAAAAAATAATTTTTTATTAAATTTTATATACAGTCCAGGAAAATATTGGTTTGACCTTGGCGAATAAATTAACAACCACTCATCTTGATTGGAAGAGAAATGTTATGAAAGTAAAAGTTGCAGCACAAACTTTTAGTTCATCAGTGGCAGATGCTTTTGAATTTTTTAGGCAGTTAAATTTACCAGACTTTAAAAACTGTAAGTTTCAATATCTATCATTAATACATAAAATTATAAAATTACTGTTTTTATATTACTCTATATTAAATAATGAGAATAATAAACATTGTTAATAATCAAAGGTGAAGAAACAATAAAATTTATTCAAACAATTGATAGACTATTTGATTTTTTAAATTCACGTAATCCATTCAATAAGGGATTTAAAAAACCACTATACAAAGAAGATATTGATAATATGAAAAAAACTATTCTGCCATTGGTTGATTACCTATTAAATATTACTGATGTGAAAGGAATACTCATTTGTCATACACCACGTAAGACATTTGTAATTGGTTAGTTGTTTTATTTACTTATACTTACATTTGTAAACACCAATAAACCTGGTAAATAATTTAAAATTTATAGGTTTTGCTATAGCAGTTAAATCAATTTTTGCCATTGCCGAAGAACTTTTTGAATCAAATATTCAGTACAAATATCTTTTAAGCTATAAATTTTCTCAGGACCATTTAGAGATATTTTTCTCTAAAATTCGTCAGCGTTTTAGTAATAATAATAACCCTAATGTAATAGAATTTAAATCATCTATGAAACAGTTGTTTTTTAAATATTCCATCTCTTCATCTTACGCTGCTAACTGTATTGAAATGCCCAATAGTAGTGTTGAAAGTATATTTGAAATACGCTGGTCAAAAAGAAATTCTGATGATTTATTTAACATTGAATATGAAGAAAAATCAAATCTTTCAGATTTTTTGATAGGTGAGACTAACCAATCCAGAATTATTAAGGATAATATTCTTTATTATATTACTGGTTTTATTGTTAGAAAGTTACTTAAAATATTTGATTGTTCAACATGTGTAGACAATCTTATAGAACAATCAAGTGAACATAACTATAGTCATAAACATGTCTATTCTGTATTGACTGATGTGAAAAATAGAGGTGGATTATTAAAGAGTTCAAAAAATGTACTGAAATTAATCAAATATATTGAAAATTCTTTAAACAAATTAACTAACAATTTTACTTCTCATATATCTGGTTTATCTTCAAAAATAATAATTTCAACCAAAAATGATGATTATAATTTCAATATCTTACAAAATATGACATGTTACGATCATTCATTTTTAGAAAATCATAGATTAGATTTAGTAACACTAATCTGTAAGGAATATTTAAAAATACGTCTACATCATGTTGCCAAATCAAAAACGTCTTCTATTGTTAGTAAACGGCGACAATTAACCAAATTAGTATTATTTAGTAATATGTGATTGTATACTGTGTATGTTTTAATAATAAACTAATATGTATATATTTGTGATAAACATTGTTTTCTTTTTCCTTAATTATATTTGGTTTAATCTTTAAATGTTCACATTATTTAAATCTTATTTAATAAAGAAATATCAAGGATATAAGTATTTGATGCATATAGAATAATAGATTTTGTTGCCAACCGACAAAATGGCGGCTGTTCACCTTATCAGCTTCACTCATAGCCATGTAAATTATATAGTAGTTACTTATCTAGTGTAGTATAGAAGTCTGTGTAGTGATTATATGATTTTTCCTTAATCTTGTAATCAATAAATATTGTTATCAACTGTGGTTTTTTTTTTTTTTAAACGTTTTAAAAATGTTGTTTTTACCGTGTTAAATTTTTTTTTAAACATTTACAGCAGAGTAAAACAACTATAAAAGGTATGTAGAACATGATTTAGGTATTGTTTAATCATAACATCGTCTATAATGTTCATAATTCTTTCAAAAGTATAAAAAAATGATTTGGGGCTAGTTGGTCTTCCAAAACTGGGGCATGTTGTCTTTTATAAATTTTTTTAAATAATATAATTAAAAATTTGTATTTGTTTATATAGATGGTTCGAAATTACAAACGAAAAACTGATAGAGGGCATGTATCGGAGGATGTTATGAAACGTGCAGTTAAAATGGTTTTGAATGATAAGTTTCACGTAAAAGTGTGTCAGATGATTTTAATATACCTACTAAAACTTTATCTCGTTACTGTAAAAAATATATTAATAACTCTGAGATTTTTAATAATTCTATTGAATACACAAAACCAAGACAAGTTTTTTCACTTGTAGAAGAAGAAGAATTAGCAAATTATATAAAAAAAGCTGCAGATATTTATTTGGCTTATCCCCGAAAGAGGTAAGAAAATTAGCATTTGATTATGCTAGCTATTTAAATAAAACAAACATCCCCAAATCTTGGTTTGAAAATGAACTTGCTGGAGAAGATTGGTTCACTGGTTTTAGAAAACGTCGCCATGATCTGTCGATACGTATACCAGAAGCCACTAGTTTAGCCCGCGCATCTAGTTTTAACATAGTTAATGTTAATTCATTTTTTGTAAATTTAAATACTGTACTAAATCGTTACAATTTTGGTCCAGGTGACATATATAATATGGACGAGACAGGAATTACTACTGTCCAAAAACCAAAAACCAAACAAAATTGTTGCACGTAGAGGGTTTAAACAAATTGGTAGAATAACGTCAGCTGAAAGAGGCACACTTGTAACATTAGCCTTTGCAGTTTCAGCATTAGGTAATAGTGTATCACCATATTTCATTTTTCCAAGAGTACATTTTAAGGATCACTTCATAGCTAATGGACCATTAGGTTGTACAGGTAGTGCTAATCCCTCGGGCTGGATGAAAGAAACTCACTTCATTGATTACTTAAAACATTTTGTTAATCATGTAAGATGTTCAAAAACCAAACCTGTTCTTTTATTATTGGACAATCACGACTCACATCTATCTATTGAAGGCTTGAATTACTCTAAAGAAAATGGAGTTACAATTCTATCATTTCCCCC